AGAAGAAAGAAAAAAAAAAGAGAAAAAAAAAAAAAAAAAAAAAAAAAAAAAAAAAAATCAAACACTACGTTGTTTGCGATACTAGCTGGTACCAGTCCATCTTGTGGAGGGATTGTCTTCAGCCTATGGTTGCTTTGTTGTCAACAGAAGCTAGATACAGAGATATTACGGAGGCTTGTCAGGAGTTGCTGTGGCTGAGGAACATGATGTCAAGGTTTGATTTTTGCAACACGAATCCTACTGTGCTTAAGAGTGTTAACATGGGAGTTATTCACTTAATGTCAACATAAATCTTTCATGCCCAAATCAAGCACATAGAGATTCATTTTCATTGGATAAGAGAAGTGGTAAAAAGAGGAGATATTGTTGTCAAGCACTGTCCGACTCACTTCACCATGCCCATTTCGAAGGGAAACACAGTCGAGCACACTCAAGGACTTTAGATAGCCTTTTGTTTCTCTTTAATTTCTCTTTATGTTTACAAATCCTTTGAAGGAAATGTGCGCTGGTGTTAGATCATTAATGTGGCCATCACCCCTTTCAACACAGCTCATCCTTGACTGCATTTTGCCACACATAGGGTCGCTTGACCGTTTTCTTGCGCCTTTGAGATCAAAAACCCTCATCTCTTTGATGTTTTCATCGAATGAGAAGGGTCCCAGAGAGTCGCCAGTAGGAGTTTAGCGCAAGAGCATTCTTCAACTGAACAAATCATCAGACACATCTACGACCAGTCAAAACTCGAAATGGGTGTGTTTCCTCAATTTCTAAAAACGAACATCATGTTCATTGCATCTTCTTTCACTATCAATCATCTAGCAGGACCAGGAAAATCTCGTTATTGGAAGAAGGGTGCCCCGCCAAAGTCAACCAAGGCCTTGAATGCCTCCATTTCCGGCACTATACCTAAATCCACTGCGTCTATCAGCATGTGCATCGCTACATTCACAAGAACGTTGCTTGGCTACGATAGTATCACCAAAGCTTATCCTTTGAGCCCCACGCCCCAAGAGCTTGCCCAGCTACCAAGTCTCGAACAACAATACATATTATCTGATCAACGTGTAATACATGCCGACTTGATTGAGACTGGAGATACAAACATGACACGTTCCATGGCTCTGTTCTCAGCAGACTTGAGGAATCATGGTATCCACCGAGTAACATTCGATTGGAACGCGCCGAACAATAGTCATTGGAACCGAACTATGGCCATCTTTGTGGCAAAACATTGGATGTATTCAAGGACGCGAGGATTATTCAAAGAAAAATCTGTCAACAAATTACACTGTACTGAATTCAACTGTATCAGCCTGGTCCTTCGCTGGGTACGAGGACGAAGCGAGGAGATCCGGAATGGCCGGCGATCTCCTGCAAAGAGGTTAAAGAAGGAGACTGGAAGAAAAAAGAAACAGGTTTGTCTTCTTCCTTCGCTTATACTTGAAAGCTTTCCTGAAAGTTTTTCTTTTACATTCCTTAGCTCTTTGAATATCGACATCAGTCCCTTTCGCGTTTACTTGGATCCGAAGAAAGTGCTTCTGAGCTGATGCCCGATTCAGATTGCTGCTCGGAAACCGAATGGCAGCCAGAAGAAACTCAATACAAATCAATTGGTTTGATCTGGCGAAGTAGTCAGTACAGCCAGATCCTCCATCAAATAGACAAACTGTCTTTCAGATACAAGGCATCGATTGCGAGTCCACTCTTGGCAAGTCGGCGATTTGATCAATGCAGAACCAAAGCGACCGAGATCAATTGGCTAGCGCCAGTCTGTTGCGGACTTCCAGAGAACTGCTATGAGCAAGTCTTTCTCGCAAAGCTCACTGATGAAGCTAGGACTGCTTTGAACGTAAAACCACCTTCAGATGCTTTGAACACGCTGCCCCCAATGATTGTATCATCCCTTCTGTAAAAACTCATTATGTTCTTATCTTCAAAAGGACGGATATTGTCATCCTTTTGTGTCTATATCATGTTACTGTTTGGTAAATAAAGGCTCTGAATGTCATTCTTGACCTCATTGATCTTCTGTGGATAAAAAACCGAGTGTGCTGGTTTCATTTTGTCTCCACTCATCCACTGACAAAAACATAATTGAGACATGAGTTACAATCGGGTCAAAACAAAATACTGAGAGAAACAGGGAATGCAAGGGAGGAAAGCGTGTTTGAGAGCTTGGCTGAAAGGTGAATATCAATGAAAAGTGCTGATTCTTCAGAGCACATCGTCAGATATGTAAAACCTAATCAAGTAGAGCAGAATCAAGATGTCAAATATCCGGCTCGCGAGGGCCTTCCTGGTTTTTTGAACATATGTCTTCATAAGTTGATGACATCTCAAAAATCCCCTATAGTCACAAAGATATGGCAGTCTCAGTATCGAAGGTTGAGTTCAGCATAAACAAAGAACAGATCTTACTAGAGTTTGTAAGCTTATTACATACACAGTAGGTAGTGATATACCTAATGTTCCAGGTGGATTTTCCACAACAGCGCTGTGGCCAAAAAGATCCTCGAGTGTTATTGCAAGGAGTGGTTGAGGTTGGTGGTACATGACCCTGGCCTTTAGGTATGGATGTGAGTAGTACGGACTTTTCATCTCGTCTAATGGTGTGAGTCGTGAGAAAGGTCGGATCACAAATATAGGGTCTGTTTGTGATTTTACACGCAAGATGTGAATAATTTCGCCAAAAGTGGTGGTGCCGTTCTGGTTAAATTCAATTCGACTATTTCCAATATGTCTTGAAGGTGTACTAAATGATTTACCCGCGTGTTTCCAAAGCGACATACTCTCCAATTCAAACTCATTGAAGATACCCATTTGAGTTGTAAGTGGGCGGATGGCTTCAGACAATTCGGGTGTTATCAAAAGTGTTTGCCACTTGGGACCGATAGTCCTAAAAATGGTGTGAGCTCCAATTTTTTCAGCATATCTAGGCGGGAGATTGTCGCAAATATGGGTGAAAAGAGTTTTTGAAGTATGTCGTTTGATCATTGTTGAACCAACAATATCTGATACATCCAACAAAAATCATGAGTACATGATATGCAAATGTCAGAATCTTATCAAGGAATCGAAGAAACATACTTACTCTGATGTTTATTTTTGGGGGTCTGGACTAGTGTGCCAATTGTGCGCTCTCCAAACCATGAAGCTGTATAAGAAGGAGGGCCATATCGTCGAACTTGTTCAGGTAAGTGTTGCGCGTAATGGAGATTGGGCTTAGATTGGATGGCTGGCCATTCAGCTCGAAGGTGTGTTCGGTAATCCAAAAGAAATTTTGAATAGGCTTCAAGGTCTTGATCATGCAGAGCGCGTGAGAAACCAATATTGATGATCTGAGTTGCAAGTAAAATAGCCTTGTGCAGTTTTGCCGACGTGCTATTTGGTTCAGAATTGTGGAAATGTGGAATCAGTGAGAAAACCATATAGATACTGTATAATGTTAGCCACTCTGCCGCTTTTGGTGTCCCACAACGAGCCATGCCAATCTGGTGAGGCACACGGGTGAGCCAAGAGGGGACACAGGTAGTTTTTATACATTTATGTACAATTTCAAGTTCATGAGGAGTCAATGAGGGCCCAAAGGGAGGCTCTGTAACGGTTTCGTCAGAACCTTCGGAGTTTGGAGGGTTTGTAGATGGTTCGTACGGTTCATGGGAGCCAATTGTGGAAGTCTTTGATTTGGCTGAGCAAGGGTAATGTGAGCGATCGGAAGATGTTTGGTGAACTGAAGAGGATTTATCTGAGCGATTGGCTGGTTCAGAGTTCAGGGAACTTTCTGATTGAGGAGCAATTGCTCCAACTGGATTGTGAGGGATTGGATCGTCAGAGTATTCACCTCTCATATCACGGTTTTCACATTCAGTTTGCAATGTCTTCCCGGCGGTTCCAATTTGTAGATATGTGACAGAAAGGTCTCTCAGTAGGCCTAGCACTAAGCAGTGCATAATGTCGATTGTAGGAAAATGAATGGGATGCCAATAAGGTAATTCAGAAAAAATTGTATACCACACTCCATCTTCTTTGAGCGCTTCTTTGCGTTTCTTTGCGTTTGGAGCAATAAGCCACTTCTGAAGCTCGCTCTTGTGTGATCGTGAATTGCGAAGTTTGAAGTGTCTGTGATCTACAACATTAATATCCTCCAAGGTAATGTAGCAGATCGAGCAAAAATTTGTGGAACTGTGAGAAGAAAACCCCGAGACTTTTTTCATTGCAGGAACATCGGCTATCAGAGGCCATACCACAACCCTTATTGGACGCCCATGAGGATGAAGTGAAGTCTGAGTAAAATGAACACCATTTGAAAGGGTTTTGAGTTCGTCAATAAGAGGAGCTATGCAGGGCTGAAGCTGATATGAATCGGGTTCGCGGGGTCCAGGGGTGAGGCCAAAGATGAACATGTTTTGAGTGCGGTAGCGGATGTCGGGTGGAAGATTAAAGCAGATCATTGAAAGTATACCCGCAGAGATACTCGAGCAGAGTCT